AACAAAGAAGGCTCCGAGCACCCTGCCGGGTCCAAGTACCTCCTAATGAGGGCCAGTGCAAGACTTCAGGTTGTCTGAGACCGTGCAGACGGGGCTTCTCAAATGCAGTGACCTCATCAGGAAGGTGTCAGGGTCTGCACTCCTGGGAAGCGGGGCTCCACATGGGAAATGGAGAGCCATGGCAGGGGTGCCTCAGGACGACTCGCCCTCCAGCCTCCAGAAGCCCGCCCCTAGAAGGCCAAGCCATGCCCCTAACACCTGGCAGAAGAGCTCCCTGAAGCTGGTTGAGATCGGCTGGCATCATCCATACACTCTGTGACACTGTGCCCTCTATGTCCTGAAACCAGTTACCTGGTCATGGAAGAGACGAGTTCCTATGTCCAAGTGCAAGACTGGGAAATGAGGGAGGCAGAGAGTGGCTGAAAATGAACCAGAGAGCAACCAAGCAGTTCTCATGCACCGACACAAACATGCACACTCACAGATCAGTGCCATGCCCTCACTGCTGAGTCGTAACGCTACCGTTAGCTGTGGTTACTCTGTTCCTCCTCCTGTAGTTACAGCCCACTGTTCCTTCATCGTGTCAAGATGTTCCAGGGGCGCCTGGGCAGCTCAGTCAGTTAAGCATCCAACTCTGGATTTCCGCTCAGGTCATGATCTCATGGTTCTTGGGATCAAGCTCTGCATCAGGCTCTGAACTGACAGCGTGGAGCCTGCTTGGGATTCTCACTCGCTCACTTTCTCTCTGCCCCTCCCCTGCTCATGCTGTCTCTCAAAAATAAATAGATATACTTTAAAAGAAAAAAAAAGATTTTCTCTCTCTCCCTCTCCCCCTCAGCCTCTACCCCCTCAAAAAAAAAAAAAGACACTGAAAAAGACTTTCCAAAATCCAACCCAAAAGCCTCCCCCTGGGTCCAAGTCCAATTATACTGAGCAAACAAAAAGAAAAGACCAGTTGCAGTGTTCTGATCAGTCTACACCAAAGAGGAAACTGATGACTTTATTGTTCATGAATTGCATTCTATTTTGTACATGTGTAAGTCCTGGTTATAATACAGAGAAAGCCAACCGGAACTTAGGAAGCTCTGATGGAATTAAACACAGGGACTCTTTTTGTTCCTTAAATATTTGGGGGCCTGACAAGTTCATCCTCAAGAATTTGGAAATAAAGATAGTTAAATTATAAAACCTGCGCATAATGGATCGGGAGCGTAAAGTCACCTGAAAGAAAGAGAACAGCTGTTAGACCAGGGCGGGACTCTCTTCACACATGCCTGGAGTGTGACGGCCCCAAATGAGAAAGAATTGTTCCATGGAGAGGGGCCTGGTCAGCCACACAAGCGTGAAACCATTGGAGTAAGTGAGCCGTGCTCTGACAGGGTCCATCCTAAGAGCAAGCAGGGAAAGGAGGACTTTGGGCGTGACGCCTCCAACAATGGAAGGGCTGGAACAAGAGCGAGTCTGGGCTTAGCTCCTTGATGGCCGGACACAGTGCACGACCACCGTGGTGGTGGAAGAAGGAGAGGAGGAAGTTGAGAACTGGCTGAGCAGAGAACTCAGGGTTGACAGCGGAGGGCCCCCTGGGCTTGCGGCTGGGAGTCAGGGGGACAGCGGACTCAAGCTATAGGGTGGTTTATGGCAGCAGCCGAGGTTATCTGGTATCCTCCACTCCCTGTGCCCAGTAAAATAACTCTTTTGGACTCGGCATTCTGGAATATTGGTGGAATGAGTGGGTAAAAGACGACAACACCAACAAAGGAATGAAGAGTTGAATGTAACTCTTCTCCCTCACCGAGCAGTTTTCTGATCCCAACGGTGCTCTTTTATAGGTTAAGAGAGAATCCGCCTCATATTGTCAAGAGCATGTCTGGCATCATTCATGAAATTATGGCTTGGATTCCAGTGAGTGCCTTATTCTAGTATGTGGGTTGGTCAACATGGGTCATAGGCTCAGGGACCGCCTACCTCTGGGCATGGGAAAGAATGAGTCCCTATCCGGGCTGTAAAACTGGAAGTTGGATCCAGGCAGCATCCTGTTTGACCCTTAGGAAAAAGTGCCTCCCCCGACCCTACTTACATCATTCCCTACTTACAGTTTCTACCACACCATCAGCAAACTCACTGTAGTTGATACAAACACACGGTTCCTTAGGTTATGAGGTTACGTAAAATCTGCTGGAGTGGAGAGCTGTTTCTACACCAGCTTTCATCCTTGCTGCTTCATTAAATCTCTCACCTGGGAACAGAGTGATTTTCAACCATCTCTCTTTCTGTGGCATCAGCATGAATCTGTGACTCATGAAACACCAGAATGCCGCTTGTGTCTGATCGACTCTATCTGGAATCCCCTAGGAAGATAGATATTAACTGAGAGCTGAGAAAGACAGAGAGGGGATTGAATCAGAACAGCAACACAAGCACCGGCTCTACGTCCCTCCTGCTCCGATCCCTTAAAATGTCAGGGATTATATATATACACATAAGAATACATCCATAACAGCACTAGAAAACAAGAAATAATACTATCAGAGACCCACACACACACATTTTGAGACTTCCCTGGGAAAATACAGCAAACAGAACTGGGGACAGCAAAGTGCCTGGAAACCCAAATACGCTCAGGAAAGAATGACGTCAGGGGTGCCTGGACGGCTCAGTCGGTTAAGCGTCCGACTTCGGCTCAGGTCATGATCTCACGGCTCCTGGGTTTGAGCCCCACGTTGGGCTCTGTGCTGATAGCTCAGAGCCTGGAGCCTGTTTCGGATTCTGTGTTGCCCTCTCTCTCGGACCCTCCTCTGCTCACACTGTCTCTCTCTCTCAGAAATAAATTTAAAACATTAAAAAATTTTTTAAAAAAGGAAAGAATGATGTTAGATGTAGGAGCACTTCCACAGAGATGCCGAACTGATGACAAATTCACTGACGAACACAAGACTGTGTCCAGTGGCTTGACTGCTTAAATGACCCCGATTCCTTACCCTTTCCTGAACTCCCCGCCTCTGCCACTAGACCTCACAGTTCCCGTCACAACAGAGGTTGAGTCTCTATCCCATCCCTTGAGTCTGGACTGGCCTAATGACGTGCTTTACCCAATAAAACGAGGCAGACGTGACAGTACATCAATTCTAGACTTGGCCCGAGAGGCCCTTATGTGTTGTTGCATGCTTCCATTTGCTGCTCTGGAAATTCCGGCCTTGTCATGGAAGTCCACATCAGCCTTGTGGGGTATGAGAAACAGGAAATAGGGCGAAGTCTCCCCAGTCGCTCTAGCCAACAGCCAGCCACCACCAGACATGTGAGCGAGCCGTTGAGGTTTTGTGGCAGCATGTTACGGAGCGTTATCACAGCAATACCTAACTGACAGAGACTCCCAGCCGTGTTCCCATGCCACATCACTGCTTATCACTGGGACACGCAGCAGTGGTGTTCGATGCCAAAATCAAAGTACAGGTACTCAAAAGAAAGGGAACCCACGCCTAAGGAGGGCTTCTGTGTGAGCACAGAATTCTCACAGAAAGAAGAAAAAGAGGTGTGTTTAGATTAACTCTAGACTTCAGACTTTCTAGAGAGCCGGAGGAGGGAAGGAAAAGGCAGCTGTACTTAACAGGAGAATCAACTGATGTCTCCCTCACCAGGGTTGAGAGAGTCCTATTTTAGCCATTGAGGTAGTGGTAGGAGGGCCCAGACTACTTGCCTTCTATGCTTTCAACCATCCACAAATGAGACACCCCATCGGTGCACTCTGCCTTCTTACACAGAGCCTGAAATTGGCTCTTGCACTAGGGAGAGAGACCCAGTGCAGACACAGAGGCAGGAAGTAGTTGAGAAGTTCGCCCAGCCATCCACACCCATCTGCCTCTGTTTTCAGACATTAATGTAAAGTAACAGCCAAGGAACACAATGTTGGGGAAAATCTCTTGACATGAAGGAGAAGCAGTAAGATAAAGAGGAGACCAACCAATTCTAGAGGAAAGAAAGAATGCAATAAAGGAAAGAAACATTGTTTTAAAAACATAATAATATCTTCAGAAGGATCCATTATAATGTCACATCAATAGCAGAAAGTAGTAAATAAGAATAGGAAAATGTTTAATAATAATAAAGAACACTTCTCTATATGTAAAAACAAAGCTAATATTTTTTTAAATACAGTCCAGAGGGGGCGCCTGGGGGCTCAGTCGGTTAAGCGTCCAACTTCGACTCACATCATGATCTCGCAGTTGGTGGGTTCAACCCCCACGCTGGGTTCTGTGCTGACAGCCTGGAGCCTGATTCAGACTGTGTGTGTGTGTCTCTCTCTCTACTCCTTCCCAACTCATGACTTATCTCTCTCTGTCTCTCAAAAAATAAATAAAACTTTTTTATCTATACCATGGAATACTCCATGGCAATGAGAAAGAATGAAATCCGGCCTGTGTAGCAACATGGATGGACCTTGAGGGTGTTATGCTGAGCGAAATAAGTCAGGCAGAGAAGGACAGATACCATATGTTTGCACGTATAGGAGGATTAGGAGGAACTTAACTGAGGAACATGGGGGAGAAGAAGGGGGGAAATGGTGGGGGAGAGGGAGAGAGGCAAACCATGAGAGACTCTTGAATGCTGACAAAAACTGAGGACTGATGGATGTGGGGGGGAGGGGGGGATGGGCATGGAGGAGGGCACTTGTGGGGATGAACACTGGGTGTTATGTGGAAACTAATTTGACAATAAACTCTTTGTAAAAAATAAAAAACAAAAATTAAATAAAATAAATAAATAAAACTTTTTAAAAAATTTAAATATAGCACAGAAATAATGCTTACTTTGAGTGTATCATAAAACTATTTTTATGGGTGGAAAGAACTGGTAAAAAGTCATAATTATTTCACTTCTATTTATTTTAGGATTATTTGTATCAATGCAAAACTATTACTTCTGACTCTAAAGGATCTTCTTTTTTTCCTTTTTTTTTTTTTCCTGTCTTCTTTCTCACTCAACTCACTCTCTCTTCATTACAGGCCAGGAGACATGATTACTCTTCTAGAAGACACCAATGAAGATTGGTGGAAAGTAAGTATTTCTCTTTCTTTAAAAGAAGAGGCATTTATTTGGTAAGGATAATTACAACAGATGCCACAATTGCGGATCCATGCTTCCTTTTTCCTTTCAGGGAAAAATTCAAGACAGGATTGGCTTCTTTCCAGCCAACTTTGTTCAGAAAGTACAGCAAAATGAGAAGATTTTTAGATGTGTCAGGACCTTCCTTGGGTGTAAGGAACAGGGACAGATGACACTCAAAGAGAATCAGGTGAGTAAAGCATGCAAGCACACACCAGGTGTGACCAAAACAGAGTAACGGTCACTAACAAACATAAATCTAAATGAACACGGTCATATTCAAAGTATTCATGTTGAGAAAAAGTACATTCACTCCAATGATATTATGTAGTTTATAGGGTCTAAACCTGCAAAACCAGAATGTGAGGAAGTTCACTTGGTGGTATCCGTTCACAAGAGGAAATACCCAGAACAGTATAGCAGCAGAGTAAGGACGTCTGGTCCTGGTGCTTTTCTCCGAGGACCACGTGTCTCTGGCGTGGACACCTACTCGGTCCAGCTCGGGCCTCTTGCAGGCCTGCACCAGTGCCTGGTGAATTGTCCTAGCCTCTTGGGAATACATTGCTGTTACTCACCGATGAGTTCCAAGGTTCATTGCATTTGCCTCCTGTCACCAAGACCCTCTTAAGTAATGTCTTCTTGTCCAGACTCCAAGCTCTGCCTTTTCTCTGGAATCGAAGACACCTTCCCACTGCTGCATAAAACAGTCAGGACATAGGTAACCAGGACTGTCTCACTCCAGTGCCCGATTATCTCCCTACATCTAATCTAGAGGTGTCTGGCGCCATCTTGCTCCAGCGCCATGTGGACTGTGTAGTTCACTATGATGCTGCTGATTTCCTGAGAAGTAAGGCATGAACCCCTTGCACCTGTATGTCTTCAAGCTCCTTGCTTCTTGCTCTCCCATCTCACTCCTGGAATGTTGGCAGACACAAAGAGAGAAGACACACAGCTCAGCACTTTGTCCTAACCCGGCCTTTCTTTGCCTTCTTCCAGCCGAGAGAGGGCTTCCTACTCTGCCTTCTTCTCTGACTCCAACTTCCTTCATGTCACATCCTGTATTCTTACTACAGAGTAAAATAATATGCTAAGATCTCCAAGTCTGCTCTTGGTATTATTTGAAGATGATTTGAAAAATCGGACCTTGGAAATTTCTTCTATCTCCTAATGAAGTCTCACAATTGACTCTAATTTCCAATTTTGGAAGTCAAAACCTTGCCTCTCTCTTGTCTCCATTTTTGGTATGGTAACTCTAATATCTCCTGAGGCAATCAAGCCTCTGGTTGGAAATGAGGAGGCTCACCCTACAAAGAAGTACAAAAAGAAAAACACGTTAGTAATTTTCATACTATCCCTGTTCAATAATTGCCCAAAACACATCTTGAATGTTGTCTTTGGAATTGCCTGCAAAGACAGTTTCTGTCCCATAAAAAAAAAATCAGCCATTGCTTTATAATTATATCTGATTTATAATTTTTAAAAATTGGTTCGCCTAATTCAATCAGCAATTTCATGTGCCACACATAGTTCCAAGTACTTGATCATTTTCCAACTAACAAATACACCCTGAAAAAATAATGATTTACCTTTTCTTTATGGCTATTTAAAAGAAAAATCTTTATCTCCAGCCCCCAGTTTGCAAAGAAGGAAAGAATAAGTTAATACAGCCCTAGACATTGTCACAATAATAATTATTATAAGCATCATGGTTATTATTACTTATTATTTAATTATGTCATACATCCATATTTAAAAAGTATATATACCTATGGCATTTTACTTGAGATCCCAAACAAAGGCTCATAGAAGTTATTTGTCTTGCTCACTCAAGGGGGCAAAAACCCCGTACGTAGCCAGAGTGGAACTTAAATATAGATCTGCACATTCTAAGCCAATGCTTCCCACTGAGGCATGTGCCCCGACCAGTGTGGAATAAATCTGAGCAGGACAGTGCCATTCGGATAGTTTGGCTCATGTGAGTGCCCTTCTGGGTCATTCCAGGCAAAGGAATCATCCTTGTTAAACTGAGACCTCATCTCTAATGCCACATACACCCCACAAAGCAAAGGGGCACTTTTCCCAGCTGGGTTCCATGCCAATGCCTCCAATTTCTCCAAGTTTGCCCAATTATGCCCTCCTTGTCCCAAAAACTTGGAAAGTCTTTCAAATGAAACAAACTTGAGAAGGATATTCATCTTTATTGGCAAAGCGTTATTAAATAATTTTGCTAGCATGCTTGATTTGTTCCCACATATTCTTGCGTTTCCCGATTTGAAATTAAACATTGTTCTTATTTTATTAATATACAAGTCCGTGAAACCAGAAGGTAAATTAAAATTTGCTCAAGTTGATCCATTTCCAGAAGCAGGACATCAGCTCAATGACTCCTACCTACCAATTCCTTGGCCTTAGTCCCCAAAATTGTGTTTTCTGGGAACAGGCTCACACCTGCATTCTGGACTCCCATGGTTGCACTGAGAGTCTTCCAGGATGGGGGTGGGAGGGGGTGAGGCCAAAGAAAAATCCAGCCTCTTCAGTTAGACATGGGCAGGACACAATACAGCATTTCAGCCTGAACCAGGAACCAACTAGATCTGCCCATAATCTATTTAAAAAACTTTTTCAAGTTTATTTATTTATTTCAAGAGAGAGAGAGAAGTATGTGTGAGCAGGGGAGGGGCAGAGAGAGAGTCAGAGAGAGAGAAGGCCAAGTAGGCTCTGTGAAGTCAGTGTAGAGCCCAACTTGGGGCTCAAGCTCGCAAACCATGAGATCATGACCTGAGCTGAAACCGAGTCAGACGCTTAACCAACTGAGCCACCCAGGTGCCCCTGCCCAAAACCCTCCTAAAAGGTTCCATAACCCCTGATATTTGCCCAGCTTGGTGTTTCTGGGAGTGTGGTCCTTGCACCACCTAAATCATAATCGCCGGGGGGGCTTTTGGAAATGCAGATTCCTGGACTCCCTCCCAGACCTGCTGAAGCAGAACATCTCAGGGTAAAGGCAGGGAATCTCTTTACAAACCATCCAGGGTCAAAGCTGAAGTGTGACAATGGCCTTCATTTCCACGATCTCTCCCCTAAGTCCTGCAGTGGTCCTGAGTTACAGGTGGGTCAGCCAAAGCCGCCGAGGTCTTCTCAGCCCCACACAATTCTCTGTTTTCAAGCTTTCTCATCTGCATGGCAACCAGCTTTGGAAAAATGTCAGCCACTTGAAAGAAGACTTGCATTTAAAAAATCTGCTGTTGAGCAAAAATGTTTTAATGTTTGGCTCCACTTTTGTGGCCTCAGTTATTTTAGGTATAAAATTCCAAAACATGCTGGTCTGGTCAAAATGGGGAGAGTATAATGTAGTCGCAAGGACACAGGTTCTAATGTCATACAGAAATGGAGCCATATCCTGGGTGATTTTGGCAGTCACCTCGGAATGTCAATGTTCTTATCTTTAAATTCGGCACAGTAGCGCCTCCCTCTCAACGTGGGGGTGAGGGTTCAACATGGCTGTGGAAAATGCCAGCACTGTTGGCATGGCCACCATCAGCATTCAGAGTGAATCCCAGATTCATGTGCAAGAGCCAATGCCGTCTAAAATTACCCCTAAGCACTAGAAAATAGCCAGTATGTGGGCACCTGGGTGGCTCAGCCAGTTAAATGTCTGACTTAGGATCAGGTCATGATCACGCTGTCCTTGAGTTCGAGCCCCACATAGGGCTGTCTGCTACCAGCACAGAGCCAGCTTCACATCCTCTGTCTTCCTCTCTCTCTGCCCCTTCCCCACTCATGTCCAAGTGCATGTGCTCTCTCTCTCTCTCTCTCTTTCAAAAATAAACATTAAAAAATAAAAAAAATAAACATTAAAAAAATAGACAGCAGGACCTTTATAACTCTAAAAATATAAAGAGACAAGTGATCTTTAGCAGGTAAATAGAAGAAATTTGATTCTAAAACACACTGCATCTCTTTGATTAAATCACATTTCTGCCTCTGGGATTAATTTGTCTCATAATTATATTGTTTTTTCACAGAGCTCTTGTTTCCAGATAGAATCAAGTTATCCTTTTGTTGCAAACACAGCTAGAGTTTGCATTAATGCAAAAGTATGCTTTCTCATTTTTGAAATTTAACAAATATCCTTCTTAAATCAGCTTTCAATGCCATGAAAGTATTTCATTCAATTCACCCAAAGTTCTGCCATCCCTATAAAACTATTTTTATTGATTCTCCGTGTTCTCATCAAAGCTGTAAAGAAAAATAGATAAATTATTTTTAGATTACAGGACTAAGATGCATTTATTGTGGAGAAAATTTGAAAAATACCCCCCAAAAAGTATAAGTGCTTTGTCTTCTACCTCTGTGACACAGGTGAATCCTGACTGAACTGATCCTTGCCAGCTATGGTTTTAGTGGTTGGCCAGTACCCCAGCTCCTGTCAACGAGAGAGGTCGGTCGGAAGGTCGGCTAAAGGAGACCGCTGGGCTCAGCAGGGCTTACATTCCTACACATTCTTGGCCCAGCCAACCTCTCTGGCTTTTTCTCACAGATTCTTCACCTCCATCCCTCTGCTCCAAAGTGCCACAGTCCCTTGACACTGGAACATGTCCATCTTATACTTTCCATTTTCCGTCATTTCCACAACACCTTGCTCTCTCTGCCTAAATGCCACTTCTTCAGGGAGGTCTTTCTTACCCCCTAGGCTAGATCAGATTGCCATATATATTCACATCAGCACCCTTTTCCCCACAAGCGAGGAATTAATTCATTCAAAAATCGGTAATGATTTATATTTGTCAGCTTACTGAATGTCGTTCACTGAATAACCAGTTATTAAAACATGTGAGGCCCTTGCACTCATCACAAATGTAATTACTCAGTGAAACGTCTGTCCCCTAGTTCTACCCTATAAGCTCTAGGACAGCAGGGATCTGCCCTTCTCTTCCCCAGTTTCCAAGCTTCTGGAGTGGTGTCTAGCACATAGTAGGCACTCAGTGAAAAACTTGAACGAATGAGTGAATGAATGAATACAGAAAATGGGGTATCTTTCAGTGGCCTGACCAAGAAGACATTCACTGGGGTAGTCAACTGTCCCACTTGGTCTCTGGGGCTGACCAACTCCCTGGGATGTGGGACTTTCAGTGACAAGATTGAGAAAGTCCCAGGCAAACCAAGACAAGTTGGTCGCCCTACTCATGGCCCTCCAAACCAAAGGAGTTCCCGTGGTCTTCCTCACCTCCTGCCCTTCTCTACCCAGAATCCTCTGGGCTCATCTGTTCATTCCACCTCAAAATGAAAGGAGATGTTTCCAACCCAGTTACTGCTTCCTAAAATGGTAGGTTCTCAAGCTTTGTGAATTACATTATTTGTACCGTCAGAATGTTAAATTCTAGACCCTTTATTTCTGGGAAGAGTACATGCCGCTGAAGCTTTTTTTCAACCATTTGCCTTCATCTTTTCCAACTTCCTTTAGCTTCCTCATCTGTTTACCCATCATCTGCTCCCAAGACTGTCCAAGCAGTGCATGATGGGTACGGAACTCCTCATCCATTGAAAGATTTCCCTAAAGCAAATCACTAAGGGATGCCAAGGAGGAGGTGCAAAATAAGTACACACGTGCAACAAAGCACAAACATTGGTGCTTTTGGCCTCCCTTTTTTTTTTTTAATGTTTTATTTATTTTTGAGAGAGAGAGAAAGAGAGAGACAGAGACAGCGTGAGCAGGGGAGGGTCAGAGAGAGGAGACACAGAATCCGAAGACAGGCTGCAGGCTCTGCACTGTCAGCACAGAGCCTGATGCAGGGCTCGAACCCTCGAACCGTGAGATCATGACCTGAGCTGAAGTCGGACGCTCAACCGACTGAGCCCCCAGGCGCCCCGCCTCCCCACCTCGTCCATTGCCTCTACCAAACAGTGTTTCACTTCCACACTGAAATCTCAGGAGAGAAAAGGAAAATTAAAGGTAGTGTGTACAGACACAGAGGGGGATTTTGCTGGAGAGACTGAAATTCACAGCTAACGTAAATGAGGGAAAATTCAAACTGACCCAAAAAGCTAAGGGAGACCCAAACTGCAGTCATTGTCGGTATGTCCTCAGGCATGGGGTGACGGTGTAAGGCTCGTAGCTCTGGGCAAAATTTCCGTTTTCTGATTCCTGGCCCAGTGTTCTCCCTAGCCAACATCACCATGATATAACATCTGTGTGTCTGTATGCCCGTAAATTGTTTTCAGATTTGATGTCTTTATTCAACTGTTTCAATCGGACATTTTAAAAAAAAATTTCTTTAATGTTTTATATGTTTCTGAGAGAGAAAGACAGCGTGAACGGGGGAGGGTCAGAGAGAGGGAAACACAGAACTTGAAGCAGGTTCCAGGCTCTGAGCTGTCAGCACAGAGTCCGACGCAGGGCTCAAACGCATGAACCGTGAGATCATGACCTGAGCTGAAGTCAAATGCTTAACCAACTGAGCCACTCAGGCGCTCCTCAATCAGACATTTTTAAAATAAGCATCTAGAAAAAATCTACACAAGGAAGCAGATATTGATGCAGATTGCTTAGACTAATACTAAGGATTGTTGAATTTGGGACATATTTCAATAAGGAAGAGGCTCCATCTTTGATAGGTTTTAATAGTAAATCTTGGTTTTAAGGAATTTTGACAGGTTCTTTTAAGACATATACTCTCTGCCCATCACTAGGGTCTCTTGCCTGCAGTGTTTCTGTCATGGGCAATGACAGGGCTTAGCTTTTGGAAATTAGGTGGTTGGTCGTCCTTTTGGGGGTTACCTTACCCCATCAGGCTCCAGTAGGATCTAACATGGCCCCTGGGCTATTCCTTTCTCACAGCTCACCTCTAGCCTTCGAGAAACAGTCAACACATTTTCTGTTAAATTAACTCCTGTCTGAGCCTCTTTCCGGTCAAGCTTATCACACAGCAAGTTTCTGAAATGTGAACCAAATACCAGTCTGTTGTATGTCCCGAGCCCCAAGAGTCACAAATGAAGCTCGTTAAGTGTCCTGTTAAAGTGGTCTCTCCTGGTGCCCTGCCCACATCCCCTTCACTAGGTGGGTGCACCCATCTCCCGGATGCTACCAACTCACAGCTGCCCTTGTCCAGCTAATCCTCCTCCGTGGAACAAGAGCTGTGGCCCGATGAGGTTACATCTCTCACACCCCACGTCGGCCAGTGGCCAATGACTAACACGGGGCCCAAAAGGCCAGACCCCCTGCCTCAAGCTGCGACCGCTCTGTGGTGCGCTTCATGCGCCGGAGTTCCCTGTGGGATCAGGCTGAGGTTCGTCTCCAGCTGAGGCCTCACCTTGCTCAGCTCCTTCCACTGACCCCCATGCTCCCCTCGCTTCCCACCTCCTGAGAGCACACGCTCACAAGCCCCCTCACACGGATTCATATCTCAGTCTCTGTTTCTGGGGAATGCACCCTAAGACGTAACTACCACCCATGGAAGCAGGTCAAGTGGGTGAACTCACAAGGCACCAAAGCTCTTTTTAAAGGTGTTTTTTTTTTTTAATTTTTTTTATTTATTTCTAGGAGAGAGAGAGAGACAGCGTGAGCAGGGGAGGGTCAGAGAGAGGGAGTCACAGACTGAAACAGGCTCCAGGCTCTGAGCTGGCAGTCAGCACAGAGCCCGACGCGGGGCTCGAACCCACGAACCGCGAGATCATGACCTAAGTGAAAGTCGGACGCTTAACCGACTAAGCCACCCAGGCGCCCCCCAAAGCTCTTTTTAAAAGCCTCTTCTGTACATGTGACCCCACCCACCCTTCATGCCATTCAATGGCCTGGCAGTGGTAAGTGACAAAGGTACCCAAGTGGATTTTTAATTTTGTTACCATTTATTTATTTTTGAGAGAGAGAGCATGCTCGAGCATAAACAAGGACAGGCAGAGGGAGGGAGACAGAGGATCCGAAGCCGGTTCCATGGTGTGAGCGCAGAGCCCAATGCAGAGCTTTCTCTCACAACTATGAGATGATGACCTGAGCCTAAATCAAGAGTTGGGCACCCAAGCAACTGAGCCACCCAGAAGTCCCAGGTACCCAAATGGATTTTAAGCACCTTCTGGTTAAGTCCAGCACAGGGAGACTAGGGGAGATGTTAGCATCTCTTTGCTTTGCTCGGGACCAAGAATGGAATAGCTTCTTTGGGTTTTCTGATATGATAGGGATAAACTTCCAAGCACATGACAATTGGTAGCTATTGCCGATTGGTAGCTATTTGTTTGCATCTTCACAATGTTTTGAGGACTCGTTGCGTGCCACATGCTAGGCTGTGTGGTAAGTACATTTTATTCTTTCCTCATAGTGACTCTTCAGGAGGACACAGTACGATTAATCCCATTTTATTGATCTTCGTTCATAAAGCTGGATCTCAGAAAACATTCGGCGCCTGGGCTTAGCTCCAAAGCCAGGCTTCGCCTACTCTTTATTCAACCTTTGTTTTTTACAGAGTCCGTCCCGCTCCCCGAGATCGGCCTCCCTTTTCCAGTGAGGTGCTCCGGCCTCAGTCTGCGGTGTTTCAGGCTACAGCTTCTAGCTTCTTGTTGACACGTTGGTGTTTTCTTCCTTGGCATTCAGATCTGCGTGACTTCTGAAGAAGAACAGGACGGCTTCATCAGGGTCCTCAGTGGAAAGAAGAGAGGCCTCGTCCCCCTGGATGTCCTAGAAAACATCTGATTGCTGCGCCCTGCTTTTGCAGTGGACGGGCTCCACCGCGATGCCTCATCTCACACTGTGTCCACACGGAGGGGCTGCCGCGCTGACCCGCCACCCGGGAAACAGTGAGACAAGACTCACGGACCTGAGACTGGAGTCCCAGCCACAAGGCAGAGGGCCCATCTCACGGCACTGCCGGGCTGCCCGCGGTGGGCGCGAGGCGGAGCTGCGCACCTTGCGGGTGGCTTGCGGGTGGCTTGCGGGTGGCTTGCAGGTGGCGGTGGCGGCGGGGCAGTAGCCACAGCTGTCCCTGAGGACTCACCTCAGTCCCCGACCATGTGATGTAAGTTAGCCCACTGGAGCGTGTCCAGCTTTCGGTGTGGGCCCTGCGCAAGGCTCAGGTCCCTGTAGCCAAGTGTGATTCTGGTTCCAGACGTGTGTCTCCAGTCCTGGCCCACCCACATCATCGCGTTTGCAGTCTCGCAGTCTCTGCATCAGGAAGTCCCGCTTCCCAGCACCCAGCATCCTAGGGCTCCGCTCAGCCCCTCCCACTTTGCGATTGTGCTTCTATTCTGTCCTCTGAGTCAGTCCTGGGGTACCCTTGAGATGGGAGGGCTGAGCTGAGGGCACCCACCACCGAGAGAGACCTGAGCTGCCCAACGGTGGCTAACAGGCAGTCTCTGCTGCTGCTGTCGTTACCAATAGAGGTGACAGAGCAGGACACGAGGCACAAATACAGAGAGCAAAGTGGGGGTCCAGAGGGGCCAAGACCCCTTTTATTGAAGATTATACAGCCCTTTCAGTTATGAAAGCATTTCCCTGAGGAGATGGACCTGAGGAAGAGAGTGGGGCAAAAACTCTCAGCCAAGAGCCCTGTTCCATTTCACCTCCCCGGCAGTAGGGGCAACATTTTCCCTCGTGCCATCCTGCACGACGCCCTTTAGGAGGCTGAGCCCACCTTGCAGAGAACCAGAGACATGGAGGAGAACCAGCCACATGTTAGGAGAAAAGTAGCCAAATCCGAACCCATTCTTCTTTAGGGCAGCATATTAGAACCTAACAGATGTAAGATGGGAAAGAATCCTTAGTGCTTCATCCCTCAGAAAGTAGAGGAACCTGGGGCCTATTTAGCATCAAGTAGGGGAGTCTCTCTTACTCTATACTTGTACTAATGTTTACACGCATTCAATATACTGTGATGCCTTCCTCCACAAGCCTCCTCCTAGCATTCAAACTTGCATCCGATTACCTAGTCATTAAGATGGTTCCACTTCAACTCACAATGACCTTGGAATCCATGTCAGCTCGATTTATTTTGTTACAGAGCAATAAAAGCATTAGAACAACTGGTTTTTAAAAGACTTCAGTGGGTGCATCTTGTGCATGTGAGCATTATTTCCCAAACCCCAGTATCATTAGTCTCCAGTTATTTCTTTTGTTCCTCCTCAGCATGACATTGGGAGCCGAGAGTGGAGGGCTGCTGGGGTCACTGTAGTTTGGATGCCTTACTGTCATTTTAAAGCCAGCATCCAGAATTTCCTCCCTCTCGGGCACAACCTGCCAAACTGAGTATACAGAGTTAAGATGGGTTCTCTGAGAGCCTGGTGGATAATGGGACTGCCATTCTCTAAAACAGAATACCAGATTGGGTCCAAACACTCTCTGCCTCTCATTCTGTGTTCCATTTAATAAAGACAACACTGTGCTGGAAGGAGCATAGAATACATGTGTCCTGATCTCTTCTTTCTGGTAGAAGATCCACTGAAGTTTTTTTGGTACAGTGGTGTCATATCCTAGGCAAATGTAAATTGCATTAAAAAATCAGTTGGCCTTTGGGAGCTGAGTAGAAGGAGGCTGTTGTAGCCAGCTCCCAAGGCAGTTCCCCAGGGATCTCTGCCTCCTGATAATCTTGCCTTTGTGTAGCCCACTCCCATGCTGAATCAGGGCTGGTCTTATGTGGCCAATGGAATACAGCAGAAGTGATGTGGCGTGACATCCGCGTCTGGGCCAAAAAGTCATTGCAGCTTCCGCCTTGCTCTCTGGGAATGCTCAGCCTTGGAACCCCAAGCCATCATGTAAATTTACCAACTCTGAGGCCACCACACAGGAGAGGCTCAGTGGACAGACCATAGGTTTCTACAGCTGAGACCCCAGACATCACAGAACCGCAGGCATCCCTGCCGGGCCTGCCCACGTGACGGCTTTATGAATAAAATAAATACGCTTCAGTGGTTTTTAAGTCACTAAGTCTTGGAGTGACTTGTTATGCAGAAATAGAGAACTGGAACAGGGACTTTGTAATTTGAGCCAATGTTAGAAAGGAGCAAAAGAGGCCCATTGCACAATGAGGCCCAAACGTTTTTACAAGCATCAAGTACTGGTGGGCAATTAGCCCTCCCGATGCAGGATATCTCGTGTTCCTTAACGACCTGGAGTCATGCGGACATCAGAGAAAAAGACAGATGTCGCTCATAGCACAGATGGCCACAGATGTTCACACACACACACACACACACACACACACACACACACACACAGAGTTTAGGAGCCATGGCATTATTCTTCCGCCCGTATGTAGAAATGGCAAGAACAAGGATATCTAGGACCTCACAGAGTCTTGAAGGTTTCCCAGGCTCAAGAACAGGCTGGGAGAAGAGCCACGGCTTTGGACTGGGGATGAGGTAAGGACCTCAGGAGAGGAGTCTGGATAGGGGGCAGGGGCAGAAAATGGAATAGGAAGGAAAGCAAGGGAGGACCTGGGGAGAGTGTCTTCGCAGTGTGAGAGAACAGCTCTGTACCCCCCAGCTCCTCCCCTGCCCGCAGCTGAGAGGTGGAGTACACTGTGCCCTACACTCCACCATCAGTGCTGTAGGCCTTGGATTCTATCGTGGTGAATTTGGAAGAAGGGATTGAACCTCCTTGGGGGCTTCAGGAGGTGAAGAATAGAACAATTTTAACCCCATCACTAGCAGACAACTGAGACACCTCTAGTGTGGGCCGTGGGCTGCAAGGAGAGCCCCAGTGTAGATGTCCAACTGACTACTAGTAGGGCTGATTTCACAGACCACCTTCTTCCTCAGCTCTACACACACACACATCGAGAAGAGTCCAGCATCTGGGTTACATATTTAAAGCAACTAGTGAGGTGATATAAGCGCTTATCAGAGTTAGTGTTCTTTGTTATTAAAGGGAGGAAAATAAAATCAGTGGAAAGATCATAATACATGTAAATAGCCTGGTGTCAAGTATTGTTAAAAGGTTAAAAAAAAGAGAGAGAGAGAGAGAGCGCAACATGGATGTCCAAAAGCCAGTCCAGGTCACTGGCTGTTCCAAGGAAAAGATGGTCGGGAAGGAAACCTACTCATTGGCCCCCAGCTTAAGAGTCAGGCCCTTGCCTGCCCAGCCAGGCAGCTGTGAAAAAGTATTATGAGCTCAAATTGCATGGATTTAAATAAAATAAACCAGGCTTCTTTTATCAGGACTTCTCAGAGCCTTTAATTTCCTAATTTTTACAATAAATCTATAAAAAGGATTTAGACCCATTGAACACCTCTTAGGATCAACTTGAATATTCCAAAGCACATGGTTTGGAAAATGCTGTGGTCGTGAATTCTCATGTAATATTGGGTCCACCTAATACCCCTTCTCTTCCTACATCTCACTAAGACGCCTATGAAATATTGAAAAGGACAAAAATGCATAATCATAGTAATAATGGAGGCTCTGGAATCAGTTTGTAGGGAGTAGGAGAAAGTGAGATCTTGGGGAGCCTGGGTGGCTTAGTCGGTTAAGCGTCCGACTTTCACTTAGGTCATGATCTCCCAGTTCGTGAGTTCGAGCCCCGCGTCGGGCTCTGTGCTGACTGCCAGCTCAGAGCCTGGAGCCTGTTTCAGTCTGTGAATCCCTCTCTCTCTGACCCACCCCTGCTCACGCTGTCTCTCTCTCTTTCTCCTAGAAATAAATAAAACATTAAAAAAAAAAAGAAAGAAAGAAAGTGAGATCTGTGTCCCGAGGGATGAAAAACTCAGAAGAAGAGTAGCTTTCTCATGCTCCAATAGCTTGCAAAGACTGCCCAGCCAGGCGTAGGCTGGTATCAATCTGGGAATAAAAGAAAGTTCAGCATCACCCAAAATAGTCTCCCCAGGAAACTGAGTGAACAGGTGTGTTCCACAGATTTAGCACAAAACAAAAATCCTTACAAACAACTTGGACCAAAAAAAAAAAAAAGCTAGTTTAATGATATCCTGTAACGGTCTCTTAGATTTTGCTCGGTTGTTATTCTGTTGTGTGTTTTGTAGAACACCTGGTGTTTTTGACCCTTAGAACATGGGTTTTTTTTTTCCCCCTAAGCTTCCAGTAAGGAGTTTTAAATAGTCCTCTGTCTTCCCCTGGGCAATAGAGATTTAACTGTACCTTGAAACATTAACAAGACAACAGCAATTTATTTTACAGTTCTTTTTTAAAAATGAAAAAGTAGCAGACTTCTTTATCATCTCACTAACAAATTTAAACAGCTAGTGAACATCTTCCCTATCTTCATGGAAGTGCAGAAATCCTGAAAATGCACCTGGAAAAGTAGAACACCTATCTCCAAGAAAAATGGTGGACCATCTTTAGATGTTCTCCACTGGCCTCATTAAGTTAGGTTCTCAGCTTACACCTGACTCTTTATGCAATGACAATATCTTTCTTTGTCTATCTTCTCTTTTTAAACCAGTTCTTTGAAAATCATTTGCTTAGTTTATTTACTTTCATTCTTTACTAGGGTAAAAAGAAATCATCTAAGGTTATGACTTTTCCTCTGAGCTCAGCTTTGACCATATGAAAGTGGTCCCATTTTCATTTATTTCTAATACTCTGTAATTAAAGTTTTGGTTTTCTCATAGATTTTTAGTGTGTGTGTGTGTGTGTGTGTGTGTGTGTGTGTGTAGTTTGTGTGTGTCATTAAAATCATTGTGCATTGTGGTCAAAAAATATCCATAGGGTTTCTGCTTTGATGAATGACTTGGCATTTTATTTTG